TTTGAGTGACTATTAAAATGTTCTTTCTGTGGTAGATAATAAGGACGTAAAGATTATAAAGACACCACCCCTGCTCTAAAGGAGGAAACTGGCACACAAAAAGGCAAGTCTAAAACGAAATTTAAAAGTAAATGTGTATTAAGTCTGGTTATGAGGTGAAGGTTCTCTGAAAGAAGCTAAAGTTTGGCCTTAAGACAATTATCATGTAAGGAGAGAGGAGTGGAAAAGTTCGTTCATGAGCCTTTTCCTTGAAAGCTTGCTCTGAAATTACACTACTTATCTAAATAAACATAAGAGAGTATGTGATGGACACTTTGCTCAGATCATGAAGCTGGTAAAATACCAGGTTCTTCTTCAAGAAAAGGCCTGTTCAGATAGATACCGGGTTTGCTATTAGCTGCTAACCTTTAGCTCTCAGTGCCTTCAAGAAGTTGACTTTAGACAGAGCTGCCGCATCCAAAGTCACTTTTATAGGGAGGACCAATATCCTGTGACTGATTGGGGTTGTAAGTACAAAGACATGGGGAAACACTGAAGGCCATTTTATGTTCAAAGCTCAATGTGGGGTCAGCCAAGGCTGAAGTCTGGCCTATAATGCAGTTCATTTTCTCATGCTGCTTCTTTTCTTTCCCTTCCATGCAAGAGTATCCCTCACCTTTGTCTTTGAGTTGGCTTCCTGGGAAACCCAACCAGTGACAATATATTAATAAGAGAAATGGTAAGTTGTTTAATTATGAATGTATTTTTGTCCATTGGATCCCTATAATATAAGCATTTCCTCCTCCACTTGTTTTTTTTTTTTTTTTAAGAGACTGCTCAAACATTAGTCACATCAGTCAGCATTGTAAAAAATAATTACTCAAATTTGGTTAAAAAATATTACTTAGAAAGCACAGCAGAAAGCTGGGTTTTAGTCATGAATCTCTCATCTATTTATCGTTTGATCATATTTTTGGATAACTGCTTGCCAAAGCTAAAAATTTTAATCAGAGCCATTTTTGAGTAGGAAAAGCAGAAAGGATGCCTTTGAAAGCAATAATTCTTTTTTTTTTCTTTCTTTTTACTCTTACATGATTTAAAAATAGTCAACTGGATTTTTAAATTTTTAATTGATAAATAAAATTGCATTTGATCCTCGCCAAGTTGACTCATATATTTTATGGATGAAATTAGATTAATTAAGATGCTGAAAATTCCATGAAGTTATTTATTTTACTCTTGAGTTGAATAGAAAATATTAGCTTTGGTTACACAATGAACACTGAGAGGTTTCACAATATTTATTATGATAATTTGTAATCTTGCATTTACATGATATTTTAAAATATCTTAGAGCCTAATACTTCTGTGCATGCTCACAACTAGGGCTTGTTTCTTGATGTCTGTATGCAACATTTTTCCCTCCTACTCTGATGAAATTACAGTGAAATAAACACCACTCTTTTCCTATACCATTTGCTTTCTCTGATATGAATGCGGTTTCCATTCTCCCTCCTTTCTTTGTCCTGGTAAGGTGTAAAAAAGAAAAAAAAATCACAAGGGCAATGTGAAAGATAATAGTAACAATGACAACAAAAATAATAGTGTCTAATATTTGTTGAATTCATACTATAGTCTTGTTATTGCTCTAACTCTTTCACATCAGTAAATTTATTTAATACTCATCATAAAACTTTGGAAATAGGTGTTATTTATTACCTATTTTAAAGAAAGCAGAAGATTCTTGTCTGCAATAGGGCAGAAGCAGTGAAATACAATTGTATTATGCTTACTTCCATTTGGGGAGTTAAATATAATTTCAACCTGCTAATGAAATTAGATACAAAGCTTGTGGGTCTATTAGGAGAGATGGGGGAAAAGCCCAGAGGGTTAATATAAATATTTAAAACTCTTCTGATATAAGAAATTCATAAATGAAGAAACTGAAGCACAGAATGAAGGTGTTTTCTTTAGATCACCTTCACATGAAGAATAAATATGGTTGTGCGTCTATGGATGTGAGGGAAGGGGGAATTGCTTAAAAATGGAGTGAGACTTCACCAAATTGTCCAAGGAGCTGCGTGTGGGTACTGGAGAATGTGGAAGGTTTTCTTGTCTCTCATTTCCATATTTTCCAATTTTCTGTAGTGAATGTACATTACTTATGTATTTGAAATATTGAATTTGAAAGAGGTTTAAATGCTAAAATCCCACTTTCATAAATATTTATCTACCACTGTGACAAACAACTGTGCCCTAACTCACTTCTTTTACCAGGCTGGATTGTAGGATGTGTGTCCAGCCCACACTGTGATGAGGACTGACTCAAAGAAGACTCCCAAATCCTTTTTATCGGATCCTGCACATGGCAGGGAACATCAGGCCACTTATGCTTCCACATACTTTCATAGTCATTTGTATTTTAATCAGGAAGTTGATTTTACAAATATTACACTTAAAGCCTGGTTATAATGCCATTTCCTCTTACTGTGTTTTGATTGTTTTGAAGTAAGCCCACCACTATACATGAGGCACACACAAAAAAAGAAGGTGGAACACAAGCAGTATGATCCTGCCCTCACAGAGATTGCAGTAGAGACAGGGCACACATTTTCATTGCAGAATACAATTCAACCTGTTTATTTCATTATTTATTTGTTTATTTTAAATATGATAAAGTTTAATATTATATTAAACTTCTTGCTATAATAGATTTTCTGGGCTGATCCTGGTCAATTTACTAGTAAGAATCGATGTTAACAATAGAATTGAGCTTGGCTTAGCACACTCTGCATACTCTTGCTGACTTGGAAGTATGGCCAAGTTAAGGAAGTAAATCAAACAGGGTGCATGTGGTGAATCTTCTAAATTCATGGGAAAATGTTAATTGCTCATTGTGCCTGCACTGACAATTGATAAAAACTCTTGCTTCGCTTAGTATGTACACTTCTTAACTACATAACCAAGACTTTACAGAAGCTGGAAAGATTGGGGTTTTTATATAATTAAAGAAAATATGAGCTTCTAATCTGTTACCCCTTTGAACTGTTAAATTGTGAACACATTTTATCTATGTAGACCAATGGGCATAACAATGGACTTTGAAATGTGTACTGTCATTTTAAATTTATTCATGAGCCATCTTGCACATGTGTCCATTTCTCATACCTGAGCCATGTTACTGGTAAGACAGCCCCTTGAGTGTTGCTACTGTGAAGACAAGAACTTATGGATGCTCACCTCTTGCAAGTGCTAAGTTCCTGGAACACATGATAAGTGTTTGATGCTAGGAAGAAGTTAAAATAAAAGGATAACCCAGAATCCTACTCAAAGAAATTTTATTCTTATGTTCTTATATGTAGATCATTATAAGTATAAAAAATATTTTACTTAGGGGTTGACTTGTTTTCTTAATACAGATACTTGTTTTCTGTATGAGTGCCACATGTGTAATGAGAAAACTTAGAAATATCAGAAATTCATATTTATTTATATGTAGGAAAAACAAAATTCTTACTCTACTAAATAGAAATAACTGAATTTGATGTTATTTGCCTTCTATATGAAAAGTTTTACAGTAAGGTTTCCATAGACTTACTTTCAAAACTCTCTTTTTAGCCAGGCATGGTGGCACAATCCTATAATCCCAGTGACAGGAAGATCATAAATTTGAGGCTGGCCTCAGTCACTTAGTGAGACCCTAAGTAACTTAGACCCTGTCTCAAAATAAAATTTTAAAAAAGAGATCAGTGATAAGAAAATCATCATTGGTTCAATCCTGAGTACAAAACAAACAAAACCTAATTTTATTTTTTTAAAGAGAGAGAGAGAGAGAGAGAGAGAGAGAGAGAGAGAGAGAGAGAACTTTTAATATTTATTTTTTAGTTTTCGGCGGACATAACATCTTTGTTTGTATGTGATGCTGAGGATCGAACCCGGGCTGCACGCATGCTAGGCGAGCGCACTACCACTTTAGCCACATCCCCAGCCTACAAAACCTAATTTTAAACTACATATTATATTCATTAGAATGTACATGGTATTCTTTGTGTATACCTTTAAAATAGTTGAAAAAATACATATGGCAATCTTGTGAATGCAATTATTCCAGTTATCTAAAATTTGGGCTATTACTAAAAGTAGCAAGTGCAACCATTATTTGATAATTTGCTCTTTGCTGGGCATTGTGTATTCTTTCTTTTCATTGGAGGTACTGGGGATCAAACCCAGAGGTATTTTACATACCCAGTATTTTTGTTCTTTATTTTGCAACAGGGTCCCTTAAATTGCTCAGACTGTCCTTGAATTTGTGATTCTCCTGCCTCAGCCTCCCAAGTTGCTGGAATTGCAATTGTGCATCATCATGTACAGCCATCATGCATTCTTTATAATAAATATGTTGTACAAAATTTTATTTTCAATTTCAAGCGAAAGAATTGAATTAAAGAAGCTAAATTTTTGCCTCAAACTACCCTCCTAGCTCAATGTGGAGTCAGAATTTCTGCAGTTTCTAATCAAACTAACTCCCAAGCTCAGCCTGCTAACAGCTTTGCTCTTTTGACTCCATACTTTTGTATCATATTGATAAAATTCTTTGTGGTATAGGCATTCAACACATTTTAGATTTTATTCTGAGAAAAGAGAATTGTAGAATGATAGGGGTGAGTTATTTCTAAGGCTCTAAACATATTTGTCAGAATTATTTTCCAAGTGAACTGATCAAATTTATATTTCCATCCAAGTGCAGGGAACCTTATTAATAAATCTGACTTTGTTTAATATTTATTAATTAGATATACCAAAATGTATTTAATGGATGTAACTTTCAGATTTATTTTTAAACATAGTAAATATTTATGCATTAGCTACTTATAGTGTTTCTTGTGTGAATTCTGTTACAATTCTTAGTTAATTTATTGCTCAGGTGATATTAACTTACTGATCTCTAAACTCTTGATAAATTGAGAAGGTGACTGTTTACTGACATGTGTATTAACAGACTTCTCTGTACCAATTCCTAGGTGTCATGTAAGTTCAGGGCTCTCTGTGATTATTCCTCATAAGAATCCTGAGAGGTAAGTGCTGTCATTATCCCCATTTTTTATAAATGAGGAAACTGAAGCCTGGCTTGAGTAATTCCCAGGGCACAGAGCAAGGGAGTGAGGCTGTTGAACACTAACTACCAGGCTAGCTTTAGCAGACATGGTTTCATACTATATAGGCTTAGTAAATGTTTTCCAAACTTCACATATTATGTTTATTTGGATCATTATTACATGTATTAAAAATTAGGGTTTATACAAATACAATGATCTGTACCTTCTTTTGGTATAGAAATGTTCTCTGAATATATCCCAGATAAATCAAATAACTGCACAAATATTTTTTTTCAGGTATGTTTACACAATTATTGATAGAATAGCAAAAACAAGTGGAAGAAACTTAAATGCACAACAATTGAGAGTTGGTTACTTTATGGTATATCCATCCACAGTTCTTGTGCAGTTATTAATAGTGATGAGGATTTTATATATTTATTGACAGAATTCAGTCACTTTTGTTGATAAACAAAAAGATATACTTTAGAAATATAAACTTGAGTGTATTTTAAAAACATATGTGTGAATATATGTTTACTTAAACCTATTTTATGCTCAATCTTGGTTACTTTTGTCTCTTAGTATTTTAGGGGCTACATCACCATAAGCTTAGTTCATTGCTAAAGCAATTAAGCAATTGTCCAGCATATGGGAGGCCAGGAGTTTAACATTGCATGCTACACACACACACACATCTCAAAATGAGAATGGATTACTGGTGAAAAATAGCTTTTTGTAGAAATTCAAGGTCCTATCTGTAACCTCAATTTTCACTAGTATATGTGGTTCACTGATTAAAATCAAGAAATATCCTCATTTTCAGAAAATAAGTATTTTTTTTCAATAAAAGACCAAGGAGATATTCATCTGTTTTTGATTTGTTTTACTGATAATCTTTCTGAAATATGATAAATATGATCAATATTAAACAAATATGTTTTTGCATCTCTTGTTAGAACTCTTTATGCACTGTGTTTGATATGAGCAATCTGTAGGTGAGGTTTCCACAACTTCTTCTAAGATCTTTCTTAAAATCTACCAAATACACCATTATCAATTTGATAATTATGATAATAAGCACCTAGTAAACATGTTGATGCTTGTGTGAAGAACCAGTTAGATTAACAGAAACAGCCTGCATGAGCACACTGACCAGAGTTTAAATTTAATTCTCAAACAGTTTAAATTTACATACATTCTTAGCACAATTATGAAATATGTACAGATGCACCAAAAAGTAAGCTTTGAGACTTTTATTCATTGGTCTTGCTGTATCTCAGCACCTGGATCAGCATGTGACACACAGTAGATGTTCAGTAAATGTTCAGAAAGTAAATTAGTAGTGTATTGTGTACTACATAAAATAACTTCTTTAAATAAGATAACCCATTTATCTTAGTGACTGGAAATTTTTGTCAGTTGTCATCTCACAGATAAGTCACTTGCCCATTTTCAGAGTTGGCTGATGCTGGGTCTGGGGTTTAAAGCCACATGGTCTAGTTTAGAGTTGATGTAAATAAACTATCTATCATTTAAGTACATACCACTCCTGGGGCTCTATGAGGAAAAAGAGACTATAGGAAATATCTTGCACTGCTGTGTTGCTACTCAAATATTCTTTTATTGACATCTTTAGAAAATACTTATCGAATGCCTATAATGGGCCTACTTAAGACACTAGGAGTAGTTTATAATGATTTTAAAAAGTCAGTTGAAATTCCCCATTTTAATGGAAAGAAAAAAAAACAACAAATGTGCCAACCAAGGAATAAATGAGATAACTTCAGAAACGGATTGATGTTCTGAGGAAACTTTAAATAGGTCGATCAAGGATGATTCTTCTAGGGAGGAGGAGTCCTCCACTGGAAGATTTGGGACTGACACAGATAGGACAGGATCAATGAATAAGTGCAAAAACTCTAAGAAAAAACTCAAGACATTTGAGGACTCTAAAACCATAGGTGCGCCCAAGGGCACAAGGAACAAGGAGGAAAGCAGGGACTGGCTGGCAAGTCTATCAAAATCATTTTTATTTCATTGGAGTTTTAAAGTTGTGAGAGAACAGGCGTTCACACATCTTAAGCTGAATAATCAATTGAAAAAAACATTAAAAAACAATTAAAAATCATTAATGCGTCCACCTAAGTGTGAGTTATTTCAATTTTCAAGAAACTTTTAAAAAATTAGGGAAGAAAATATAAATAAAAAAGCTACTATTGTGAAAAAAGATGAATTTCAAATAAATCACCAGGGATGTTAGACTGATGATAGAAAATGTTGTTTAATACTGGCATTAGTTTTCAACAGAAATCATGGAATCTCCCCTCTGGAGAGAGTTTAAAATAGGATTAGATATATTCACTCAGTGCAGCCTTGCCTGAAAGCTCCACTGACCTCCCAAGGTCTTGCCAGTCCTGTGATTCTGTGATAAAATTAGACTCTTTCATTGGGCAAAAACAACCCAGGGTTCACCGTGCCAGCTGCAACCTGGAATAATTGGAAGGGACTGATTTTGGAGTAGTATACCTCCTACAGCTGAGACAAGATGCAATTAACAGATCCCCAAACCTCTCTTATTTCATGCTGTACTGAGTACTGGTTCTCAGCCAATAATGGCTTGTATCAGTGATACAGCAAAGTCAAGTGGTCTGATCCATGATTAAATAGTGGATGTCTTTATTAGCTGCTGACCTTGCTTTGAACAGAATGGCTTCAAGAATTGTGTATCTATTAGCTGATTCTTTGATCCTTGAAAATAAGAACCAGATGAATCCAGTAATGCATTTTTATTTGGATTCTTTTCCACCTTTCTCAAGATGAAATAACTCCAGTTTCATGCACGAGCCTTAACCTCATTAAACAACTCAGCTCAACTGTTCCCACATTTAATCATCAGCACTTACCCATTGTATTTTTGCATTTAACAATTTCTGCTTTGAAAAAAATTTTAAGTAAATGTGTTTTTTTTTCCCTACAACGTTCCTATTTAGCAGCAATTGGACATAGTGACTAGAGAACAACACCAGAGTAAAACAAAACTGGGCTTATGCCAGCTGCTTCTCACTCCAGATGTGCAAACTTGGGGAAATTACCCATTTGTCTAAACCTTGATTTCTTTCATTATGGATAATATTCGTACCTCTCTCAGAGACATTAGGATCATGTAATGAGATAATGCAAAATAGCTTTCTGCCTTCACCTTCCATATTCTTTTTTTAAATCCCATTTCTAATGTTGATTTGACATGAAACACTACCAGATATAATTACGCACGTGTGTGTGTGTGTATTTGTGTATTCACTGGTTATAGTTGTTTCACTCCCCATCTTTATCCTCTGTCAACACATACATGAATCCTGAGATAAGCTCCATGAGACCAGGATTCCTCTTTGATATGTCTATCATATGAGTCACACAAAAATGTCCCTTGATTAACATTTTTGGAATAAATGAATATAATAAAACATCACACCCAGACAGGTGCTGTGGAGCATGACTATAATCTCAGTGGCCAGGGAGGCTGAGGCAGGAGGATCAGAAGTTTAAAGCCAGCCTCAACAACTTAGCCAGACCATGTTTCAAAATAGAAAATAAAAAGGGCTGGAGATGTGGCTCAGTGGTTAAGTGCCCCTGGATTAAATCCCTGGAACAAACACAATGAAACAAAACATGTCACATAGTGATATCTGATATGTGATCAGCATTCCATTAAATGTTAACTGATTTTTTTTTCCTCTCAGAAACAATTGAGTATTTAGCTGTATCCATCAGTTCATCATCTGAAGCAGCCTGGAGCCAAGAGCAAAGTAACAGAAACTTGCACAATGGAGCAAAAGCTTGGATTTGGCTTTGCCAACAATAATTGATCTTTGAGTGAGTCATTTGTGAGATCCTCTGAGATCTATGTTGTTATTAATAATGTCATTTATTTTTGTGTAAATATACATCATGTTCCTTAGAAAAGGGGGTATGAAAGACCGAAGAAAAAATGGACTTATTCCATTAGATTGCTCTTAGAACCAGTCCCTCACATCCCTAGCATTCTTAATTCAATTAATTTTAAAATGAAAAAAAAATCAAGAAATATGTTAGCAGGGCACAGTGACACTTGCCTATAATGCCAGCTGCTCAGGAGGCTCAAGCAGAAAGATTGCAAGGTTGAGGTCTGCCTGGGAAATTAAGCAAGACCTGTTTCAAAATAATGAATAAAAAAGGGCTGGGGATGTAGCTCAGTGGTAGCGTTCCTGGGTTCACTCTGCAGTGCCAAATATACTTGAAAGATAAAAGAAATGAATTAAAGTATGTGTGAGATTATGAAACATTTCAGGTGAGTATCTTCACTACTTCTCTATTTACCCAGTCACATTCCACAAAACACAAAAAGGGGAAAATTCATCCAGCTTGGTTCAGGAGAAGAAACTCAAGCAGCTTGGCCATAATTTGTCTTTCCTGGATCACCTTAGTCTTCCTTGTATGTGAAAATTTGTTTGTGTTTGTATTAGTTTCACATTATTATAAAGAAATACCTGAGAAAATCAACTTATAAAGAGTAAAGATTTATTTTGGCTCATGGCTCTGAAGACTCCAGTCCAGGATCACATGAACACACCACTTTATGCCTCTGATGAGAGCAGTACATCAGGGTTGGAGTGTGTGGCAGAGGCAACCATGTACATCATGAGCCAGGACCACAGAGAGAGACAGAGCAAGCCCAGGGTGCAACAGTCTTGTTCATGGCATGTTCTCACCTAATGACCCAGGGACCTTCTCTAAGGCCCCATCTCATAATGATGCCACCTCGGGGGACCAACCCTTTCAATAGAAGGACCTTGGGGGAGCACTATCAAACCAGCGCTATGTTCCAGAACAAGCATTGCTTTGTTCTCTTCCACAGAGTCACCTTTTCTTCTTTATTCCCTTCACATATTTACCAGGTTCATAATGTGGATTCAAATCCCAAATATATAGGAAGGAGAGAAGTTCTTGGAACAAGGCTCAAATTCTGGGTGGAATAGCAAAATTGTAACCTGGAGATGTAAACGCAAACATAACTCCATTTCATTTTAAACTTTAAATATTTAAGTAAATTCAAGATGAAAGCATACCTGCTGGCTTGTGTTTACATAAGTAAATATAGTAGGCCTCCTTACCCACAGTTTCACCTTCCACAGTTTTAGTTGCCTCTAGTTTGAAAATATAAAATGGAATATCCCAGAAGTCAACAATTCATAAGTTTTAAATTACACACAGTCTGAGTAGCATGATAAAATCTCCAATTGTCATATTCTGTACTGCTTGAGATGTGAATCATTCTTTTGTCTGGCATATCCATGTTGTGAAGTACCTACCCATTAGTCATTTAGTAGCCATCTCAGTTTTCAGCTCTACTGTCGTGGTATGGCAGTGCTTGATTTCAAATAACCCTTGTGTTACAGAATAATGGCCTCCATTGCAATAGTAATGACTAGCAATTCAAATATGCCAAAGAGGAGCCACAAAGTGCTTTCTTTAAGTGAAATGGTAAAAGTTCTTATTTAATAAAAAGGAAAAAAAATTGTGTGCTGAGGTTGCCAAGATGCACAGGTAAACCAGACATTTCAAGAGGAAAAACAGGAAACCACTGTTTTTCATTGTAGTATATTAGTATTATTGTTCTATTTATTATTTCTATTACTGCAAACCTCTTATTATCCCTAATTTATTACATGTTATCATAGCTGCACATGTAGGAAGAATATATTTATACATAAGCACTCAATATATTCCATAGATTCAGGCATCTTCTGGAGCTCCCAAAACAAATCCCTGTGCATAAGGTGGGACTCTGGTGTCGGCAGAGAATAAGAGGGCAGGAAAAGGGACAGAATTAAAAAAATAAGAAAAATTTTTGAAAACCAATAAAAGAATAAAAAGAATTCTCATCCGAAAATGGAAAAAAGTTTATTCAGTAGTGTAACTAATAACTAGAAAAAGTAGTTTAAGGGCAAAGTTTTTAATAATTGTTTTAAACATATTTTTTTCAGATTTTAGAAATTAGATGGTGATTTGATTGGGGAGATGTTTTGAAAAGGGAAAAAAAATGAATAGTATAAAATGTCTAAAGATGCTGATTGAGAATAACAACAAAGCCAGATGGCATAAATGGCATCTTTAAGGATTTTGTGGCATAAGAAGCTATGCAAAAAAGTGCCTCCTCTATCCTAAGCACCATGCAGTCCCATACTGAGCATGCTCTGTGTCCTTAGCTAGCTACATGAACTCAGCACGCTCAACCCCAAACCTCTACCTTTCTATTAACTATTTAAACTCAGCTTTTAGCTGTCTTTAGTACTTCATCATGCTGATTTTGTTGTTTTAATCTAAAAGTTATCTTGTTTGTGAAACAGTTATGGTGAATCTATATTTCAAAATTTTACATAGCCATTAAAAATAATGAGAACATCTATACATAATTGCATTTAGATCAGGTTAAAAAAATCAAGTTGCAGAATGTATGCTACAACCCTATTTTGATTACTAAAAAAAAATGTGCATATTTATTTGTATAATGCTAATTTAATACACATAAACTATTAGCTTGGGTTTTCTCAAGGGTGGAGAAGGGGCAAGACAACAAAAAAGGAATGAAAAAGATTATTAACTTTTTTCTTCATATTTCTACATTGCTTATTTGTTACAAAAAAGGGCATTGTTTTGTTGTTAAAATGGACAAGTATTTAAAGAATTTCCTACAGTTCTATGTAGGATTATTCATTTATGTGGACTAATCTTTTGTGTGAGTTTTTTTTGTGAGACGATTCATTCATAATTGGTTCCCAAATAATTCTCATTTTTATACTTATTTTGTATATGGTCTGAATACTGTCAGAACTGCAAATTATCTATCCGATAACATTCTCCATTTTTCTTTATTATATAAAACCTTGTAGTATTTGCAGAGTCTACATGGCCAACTTCAAAGTAAAACCAAACAGAGCAGTACAAACAAAAGTAAATAAAATAGATGCTCTAATCTCTATACAACTAAGGGTGTTCATGAGAATAAAATCTAGTCAAACAAATAAGCAGAAGTTACACCAGTGTTACAGGAATACCCCTTTCAAGAATAACTGGCAGCTGTGTATACCCTTTTACACTCCCATCTTTCTTCTTTCTGCTGCCAGGAATAATGACAGAAGAACTGGAGCACTAGCAGCTTTTTGGACCATGAGGTGACACTGAGGATTAAGGCCTTACAATGAGGACGATGGAGCAGAAAAAGAGAGAGGGATGTTTTCTGATGCCTCCATGGTGCCAATTAACAAACCTGGACTGTCTACTTCTGATTCCCTTTCCTGTGAGCAAATGAATTTGTGTGTGTGTGTGTGTGTGTGTGTGTGTGTGTTTAATCACTAATATTTTTGGATTTTTTATTGTATACAACTGAATTTAGTCCTAATTAACATAGATGACTAGATATACGTGAAAAATAAAATTTCTTATGGGAGAAGTTGTAGAATGAGATTGAATATTTTTGCTTTTGCTGCAAATGCTTCTTTTTTCCATGCTCTGATCAGGAACAGCTCACTTGTTAAATCATAACAATGCTGGTTGTGTCTATCTTGCTTTCATAAAACACTTCCATTTCAGATGAATAATTGAGTATTTGGAGTTATCGTGAAAGTTCTTGGTCTCTGCCTCTCCTGCTAACAATAGAAGGTCTTGATGAATTGATTAAGCAAAAATAAAAGTGCACTGAGGCAAGAGTGCTACATCACTTAAACCTGTTTTTAGGGGGTCAGAGTGCTAATCTGAAATGCTAGACAACAAAACATCAACTGTAAATAAGAAATCTGAGCTGAAATAGAGCACAAGCCTTGTTCAATGACATGAGAACAGAACTAGAAGTAAAGCCGTCTAATGGGTTCTAATTCCAGCTCTGCCATCTAATTGTCATTTGTGCCTGAATGATATCATTTAGCTTATCCATGCCTCATTAGTGAAATGGGATAACTGACCCATAGGGAAAGGAATATTCGATGGTAAAGTGAAGCATGGGTGAGGGAACTTTGTGGAAGGCCTCCCTCTATGAGAAAAGGTATATTTCTGAAGCAGATGTACTTAGACATCCAGATGTTGTATTTATATGGAAAACATGATTTGATTCCAGATAAAAAAATAAAAAAAGAAAGAAAGAAAGACTTTCAAACTAACAGTGATTGGCAGAGATCAGGGAAGGTAGTGGTCCTTTTGTAGTGTATAAACAGTGGGAAATAGGCAGCACTCTTTTGTCCTCTTCTCCCAGCTGTTAGTAGCCATGACAGTGAGGCATAAGTATAGTAGTAGCTCCTTTATTAAACAAGTATTCACTCTTACTATGCAATTGAAATAGTTGTCCGGTGCAACTCAATTTCCTTTTTAAAAATTTCATTAAACAGGAAATGGGAATTATTATCCCCTTTTTACTGATGAGATTGTTCAAGTTGAGAAACAAGAAAAGAAACCAACCAAGGACATTTGGTACTGAATGGCAGAGGTGTAATCTAAATTCAAAATTTCTAACTAACTCTAAAGTTTACTCGTGTAAACACCACAGTCTGATTTGAATGAGACATTAGGAGGTAATTATAACTAATATTCAAGCTTAATAGGGCATATTTAAAGAGGTAAGAATAGTCAGGTATGGTGGTGCATATTATAATCCTAACTACAGGGCAAAGCAGAGGTCGAAAGATCCTAAGTTTGAGGCCAGCCATGCCAGCTTACACAGATCTTGTCTTGAAATAAAGTTTTAAAGGAGCTGGGATATATTTCAATGGTAAAACACATGTCTAGCATGTGTGAGGCCCTGGGTTCAAATACCAAGTAAATAAGGAAATACACAAGAATAATTCTCTTATGTCCTTTCCCTCCATGCAGTATACAATCTTGACTAACAAATACTCTAAATATACAAAAATACACATACACACCTCAACTTCATCAAAACTGCTGTTAATAATTTAGTAGTGACCTAGGTGCTGAGCCATTAAGCATGGGATTTTCCAAGTAGAATGTAAAATAACGATGGGTCAGAAGTTCCAGAGGACAGCAGACACATCTGTCTTCCTCACTCCTGGCTCAGCAGGGTTTAGAATTAACCCAGTCAAATCAAAAGCAAAAAATATCTGTAGATTAAAGGGATATTTGACAGGCTGGGATTGTGGCTCAGCAGTAGAGCTCTTGCCTAGCACATGCTAGGCCCTGGGTTCAATTCTCAGCACTATTAATTAATTAATTAATTAATTAAAAGAAAGAAGGGGATGCTTAAAAGTAATTCTTTTACCTGTATTTCAAGCATACTTTTGAAACTTTCGTGATTTTTGAAACTTTGATTACCCCATGAGGGCTACCTAATGTAGATTATTAGATTTTTAAGATTTGAAACTTGAGATCTTCACACAGTGATACCTCCAAGATTCTCAACCTTACAAGGGCAGAGAAGATAGCCTTTATTGTTTTTTCCTATCATATTATCAGTAGTACCATTGTACCTGATCTAGATGTTTAATATGTACTAAATTCACAAATCAATGATATTGTGAAAAAGTTCGAAATGTGATATACTGCTAATTATATGTCATATTACCAGTAAGACTGGCAAACCTAACAAGTGAAAGTCCAAGAAGCCTAATCTTTTTGTAAACTAAGGTCTAGTTTCACACTCTTTCTCCGAAATGCATTTAAATGGCTCTTTCAATGTAAATAATGACTTCATTACACTAACTAGAAATCTAATGGCTTTTAAGAGTTAATACAGCTTTTATAAGAAGCTGATTTTATACTTAGTAGCAATTTTACTACTAAAAATTGTAGTCTCCAATGGAATCATTTATGTATATAGAGTTAAAATAATTTAACAGAAAAAAAAAAAAACGTGTTGCTTAGGTCATCAATCACCATTAGTTTGGGTTGGACACATAAGGGAAAAGGATGTTCTTTTTTGTGGTTTTAGTTTCAATACTGATACGAGTAAAGAACGTTACATTACTAACTACGTGTAATAAGAAATTATTTTTCTTGCAGTAACTACATGATGTGTTCCAACACTCCAGAGCTCTAAAGTTTCCCTGAAGCAGATGGAAAGCCATTCACCTTGGTGAGGGCATAACCCTTCTTGAGATTTAAATCTGACAGGAGAGCTATGTCAGCACAAATGAGAGAAAGCTGGTGGCCCTGTAGCAAAGTCCCCCTGTCAAGGGACCCAGAGGAGTTTCTTGGGGAATCTGAGGAAAAGATCCTATAAAAATGAGTAGGTCATTAGACCCTTTGGGCTTCAGCTAAGGTAAAGGATCAAAAATCTAAATGAATCCAGAGAAATTGGAATTCTAGATGAAAAATGACCTGGAATAAAAGTTTATTTTGTCTACTTGTTACTTTCTTTCTTCTGAACACAGGAAACTTCCCTGTTTAGAGATTTAGTCTAGGTCAGAGATTAAAGCATCTGCTAAATTCTACATGCTAGGAATGCAAGCAACCTTACAATAGCATAGTCATACTATTAACTTGCTGGTGAGGAACTCATGAGTCAGACAAATCATTGTTCAAGATCACCCTATTGGTTTCAGGAAGAGCTAGAATTAAAATTTAGTTCTTTATTCCCAACCAATTCAATGAAGTAAAATTTTGCTACTATTTTGTAAATAATCTGTGGAATACAAAATTTCAATATGAAGTTTTGAATTCAATTCCATAAATAAAAAAATGCACACTGTGTATACATAAGAATATACAACACTATACACCTACTTGAATAGTTGTTACAAAAAATACAACACCTAATTTTGGGGAGAATTTAAAACAGCTGAAATTCTATATTGGTGATGATGAAAACTACTTTAGCCATTTTGTAAAATGATTTGTCATCATCTACTAAAGTTTAACATATAACACTCTATAATCCAGAATTCTATTCTGACACAGAATTAACAGAAATTAAAACATGTATTCCTATGAAGATTTGAACATGAATGCATACATCAACCCAAATATTCATTTAAGTACACTAGATAAATACTTTTTATTAAATTTATATTATAGGATCTTACACAGGCATGAAAAATCAAATCACTGTTTCATACGATAATTTGGATCACTCTCTCAATGATAGACACCTCCTTGTCTAGGTCTGATGTGGTGTGTGTGTGTGTGTGTGTGTGCATTTAACATGTACCCAGAAACACACATTCACATGCACACAAGTCCCAGGGATATTAAATGAGCTGTAGACATCAGGCTTATACACTTTCTGTGTCTATCACTCTGTATATTTATACCACAATTAAAAGTATTTGTCTAGGAATTTATCCTAAAAAATCGACATTTTAAATGGTAAGATATTTATTTATGCTGTCGCAGCAAATTGCCCATTCTACTAAAATGGTGAGTCATTGTGATAACCCATTCATGGGCTATAAAAGTTTTTCCTTAAAAATCTTCCAGGATCATTCTGTTCAGAAAGAAAAAAACTTGAAATGAGTATTAATAGTAGAGATGTCCAAAAAGAGCTGACGAAGGAAAAGATCAGAGGGCTAAAGGAACTGAGAGGAAAAGCAACCTGGGCCAATGATGCATTTTTAGTCAACGTATTTTGTTGTGAGTCACAGCTTAAGCCTTGGGGAGAAGACACTGAGATGCCTCAGTGAATAAAAGGAAAGTAAACACTTTGGGACTCAGAGTAACAGTAGAGAATTTAAGGGTTGGGACTAGAGAACTTACATTACTAATGCTTACACCCTGGCCCCCCACCACGTCTTGTAATTTTCATAGATTCCTCTATGTGGAGAAATCTAGTATATTAGTTCACAAGTGTAGTATCGTTGTTTAGAGTTCATGAACAAAGTGTAAGGCTTTATTTTAGTTAGAAACACCAAACATAATTTTCATTGCCCCACTCTTGTCAAAGGCTTGCTCTGCCTGAAAGAATAATGCACTTTCACCTTAATAAGATTTAAATAGTGACTCTTAGCTGGGATATTTGATAGCTGTCAAAGTCAACAGCAGTTACCATACTTTTTGCATTTCATGTTATATCCTTTATATTCCTAGAATCAGTCCCAATTTTTAATTTTCATTGAACTCAATGTTTGTCTTAATATTTGATTGAACACATTTAACTTTTGCTCTTCTAAATTTGACAAGCTTGTTGGTTGACAATCTTAGTCAATCATGTTGATTGACTAACAAACTATTTTCTCTTCATATCAGTAAGTCTCAAAAAACTTCCATTTAAAGAGTTCTAACATCCACAGCTCATGGATACAGTGACTGGATTATTAGCTGTAAGTATATTTTTATTTGAAGGGTAAGATTCTGCTGATTATGTTGCCATTCCAGTACTTACTGGGTAACTTGCTCCACAATAACCAGTGTTTACCAGTAATTCTTACTAT